GAGCCACTCTAACTATAAGCTTTATCAAAAAGGAAAGTTTTAAGCCTAGCCTTAAAAGTAGACAGGGTGTCTGCCTCACGGACTAAAACTTAGTAAGGGGACTAAAAACTCCACTGGAGTTTTTCTAAAACTTACAGAATCAGGCTTTTCCTGGACGCTTCCCTTCAAGGTTCAACCTGCAGATTAATATTCTGACAGATGTGTTTTTTTTTTCAGGACTATAAAAAGATATGATATTTTTTCATAGATATGTTGGCATTCTCTACACATTGTAACCTTAATTTGTTTACATTTCCTTATAATGAATAACTATTGTTTATGAGCTTTGATTTTGCCGTCTCTATATTTTCTCTATTATAAGATTGGATCTTAATCTAAAAGCCTTATCTTTGCAGCTTCTTATCTTTATCTCCTATAAAGCAGCTGCAGCCCATTCTGAGAATCACTCTGCAGCTTCCTTATTCCTCTGATATTTACAGAATTCAGAATTTTCTCCTGTTTCCTCCTCTTAGTAAATGTGTGTTTGATAAGAAATATTGAATTAGTCATGAGGCATTGCTTTCACCCTGTGCAGCAACATCCCGTCAGTGGTTAATGTCAGCGTGCTGGAAATGCTGTTAGGTTTTTATGATCTATTGTTTTTGTGTTGACAGAGGGATAACCAGTAGAATATGAAAGAAATGCTTTGGCTTTGATATGCTTACAGCAACAGTTTATTACATAATAGTCAGCCAGCTCAGTTACTCTAGAGTTATATCATCTCACTAAAGGGATGGACTTCTCCTCTTTTATGGTTCTTTGTCTGGAATAACAAAAAGTGGCCGTTTTCTAACAATGAACCCATAAAGGTTTTTATTACCAGAATATAATGTGGCAGGTTCTTATAAAACCAATCATGGCAAATTTTCAGCTGTTTTCCGTCACTCTGCACCTGATGGACTGATGCTTTACTGTATGAACCCCATGTACAGTAGCAGGCAATCAAAATGCCCGTCCCAGTCAAAAGCAGCAATATCCCCTCCAACTTCCAGTCACTGGCCTTCTCACAAAGATTGACACTTAAAGGAAAAGTCCGGTCAGCAAAGAATAATCTATGGATCATTATTTATATCTAAAACTAACTAAGGGTGTGGTGATGTCATCAGTACGCTTCTGTTCACCCTAAGTCCACACTTTCCTGTGTTCTTCTCAAGAACATACTTGGCGAGGACACGGTTTCATTTTCACGTTCTTGGGAATTGAGAAACAACCATAGTCTTATTTCCAGTTTTATATTTCCAGGACTTATGTCACAGTTTGGGCCGATTAAAGCCTTTCTGGCACAACGGTTTCTGGGTTTTGGGCCACAGTAAACAAAGAGGGACTTTAAATTTCATAACCAACTATTTCTGTTGGGCTTCATTTGAAGCAATGCTATCCGAAGCGTGTTGGAGGAGACCTGGTCACTGCAACCTGTTTCTCTTACTACAGACAAGAAACAATAAATGGTTAGTTTAGTTTGAAGCTATAAAGCTGAACGGCCTCTCCATCCTTAAAACAACCTTTCTTTGGGCGATTGATTAGGCTAACTATGAAACGGCATCTCCTCCTGCATGATTTTATTATCTGATATACCAGATAACTACTTAAAACTGGTCTAAAGATGGAAGTTGTTAAAGTAGCAGCAAACAGTGGCCTTCACTCTGCTCCCCAGTCTTTTAAAATGTCTTCCAGGTTTTATTTTATGGGATTATCTGACGTTAAGCTCAGTCCATCATCTTGCTGCAGAATCTGTCCTCTTTTATCTCTTTAACTGGCCTGTGGGTTCAGGATTCATTACCCTCATCCCAGAGCAGTCTCCTGCTGCAGCATGAACCTGCCACCTCCGTGTATCCCAGTAGGGATGACGGTGTGCTGAGTTAACGTCATTGTGTGTTTGTTGTTTTATTTTTTCAGGAATTATTTTTTTTCACAAGCAGAAGTTTGACAGTTTTATGAAATGGTTGCAGGTTTTGGACCCGGAGCTGGAGTTTGCAGATCAGGCGTTTCCCCCACAGTCCCTGCAGCCTTCAGCTCTGAAGATCCAGGTAAGAAATGCTGTTATGAAGACAGAAATAAACTATTTTCTTTGCTCCTACGAGAAAGAAAGTCTTAGAATGAAATTCCAGTTTGGACCCTGGACTGTGGCTGTGCTGTTTCAACAGTAATGCTACATTCTGACCCAACGCAGCGCGTGCTGCTTCATTTTTAATGCTTTTAATAGTTTAGTTCTGACGCGCGGCTGAAGCATCTTTGCTGCTCTTGCTTTGCTGTCGAAAACTGTTTCTGATGCGTGTTGGGCAGAGCTAATCTATCCTTTCTTTGCCTGGAACAATGGCAGCTATATTTGCTGTGATCAGCGGGTAAAAGTAGTTAGAATCTATGTTGAAGTGAGAAAGTCCTCCTGAAAACATGGTCTGTGCAGTCAGTTCATCCAGATTACCATCCTGCCTTCAGAAATTATTTCTCTGTGGGAGCCGCTCTGCCCCCACATACTGGTGGAGCGACAGCCTCTGGCTGGGTTTCCTCTTTGCGGTTTTCTGCTACTGTCCCCGGCTGCAGTAAGGCCTTTTTTATGTACGTAATCCAAACTGCAGGCAGAATAATAGAATTGAACCTGTTCTGCCGGCAGGTTTCTACATTTTCAGTTAATTTAGGCGTTAATAAACTGTTTCAGAGGAGTGATCATAGCGCTCTGCATCAGCAGTGCTGTGTCTGACTCCCTGCCAGCTCCCAGATCAGCTTCTCTCATTGGTTGATGTGGCACAAAAGTTAACTTTTTCCAGCTCCAGCTGCTGCTACTTCTGACACATCAGCTGCTCAAAAGCTCGTGAGGCGCTGCTTCAGCTGCTCAGATGCGCTGCGGCACCTTTTTCTGCGCCTTGATGCGTCAACCTTTAACTTTACATGAAAACTAGCTGCTTCTGCTGCTTGCGGTCTGAACGCAATATTATGGTTTGATCAAACAAATAGTTTGTTTCTGTAACTTACTTCCAGAAACATTAGATAGATTCTGCCAAATTGTTTTGCTGTCGCTAACTGCTAGGAGCCGTTACTGCAGTCTGATCTTGTGGTGAAAAAATGTGTTAACAGCTGGAACAACAAACTCAACTTAAATGTATGGTTTTATGACGGGACTGAACTGGATAGTGTGTCATTTCCTGTCAGTTCTGTCTGGATGATCAGGTTCCATCTCGTGCTAAATGTGTATACTGTAAAGTAATTTCAGAGTGCTCTATAAATAAAGTGAACTGTTTGTGTGTTTCAGGATAAGGAAATCCGAGCGGTCTTCCTGTGGCTCTTCGCTCGGCTTTTCCAAGGCTATCGTTGGTGTTTACATATCATCCGAATTCACCCAGAACCTGTAATCCGCTTCCATAAGGTACGGAAACGCTGTGTTTTAAAAAGAGGAAATAAAAGAATGCCTCTGCAAAAAGTGAGTGGGCTTCTGTTGGCAGGCGGCCTTCCTGGGTCAGAGGTCATTGACAGAGGACGACTTCCTCATGAAGGTGTTGGACGGGATGGCGTTCGCTGGCTTTGTGTCGGAGCGCGGCCCTCCTTACAGGGCCACCGATCTCTTTGATGACGTGAGTCTTTCTGCACAAACAGGAAGTTTAAGGCCCTTCAAAATCAATCTGAAACCTGATGTCAGTGATTGGAATCAAAAAATGGATCCATGTCCTAATATATTTAATGCACAAATAAAATGTTACTGTAGAACAATTACAGTTACCTTTTGTATCTATGCTTCTTTTTCTATGTCTGCTTCTGTCTCCTTGAACCCCAGTCGACCTCAGATGAATGAATAAAGAGGCTAATTAAGAGATACATACATTTATCTCACTGTATATTTAATTTCTACCTAAATTTATTTATTTATTGTATTTTGGGTGCAGTTAATTGTATGCCTATTTATTGAGTATTTATTTATTTCTGTATTTATTTTTAAATATGGTAGAGCTGATCCTACACAATTATTTAGACGTTTTACATAGAAACATTTTTATGAGTGCTCATGCATACATCATTTTGTTCGGATGGTTCTAGTGTTTAGTTTTAGATCAAAGTATCAAAGTCTTTAAAATGCTAACATTTATTTTTTTTTTATGCAGCTTGTTGCCAACCAGGTGGAGAGAATAAGACAAGAAGAGGCCTGTCCACACAAAGTCATGAATCACGTCAAAGAGTTGGCAGAGATACTTTTTAAGAACGTACGTCAGGACGTCTCTGATCTTTCCATGCACAGAGGTTTTCTGTCTTCTCGTTGTATCCATGGGTTTCCCATGAAGGGAATTCATTTTCTCCTCCTCGTCTTCGTGCCGTCCTTTCAGGAGAATCCCTACCCTGCAGTTGCTATGCACAAAGTCCAGAGGCCATCAGAGAAGAGCCAAAACACGAGCCAGAGCCAAACTCCCTTCCCCGTCCTGGATGATGTGTCGGTACAGCTCTTCATCGATCATGCGATTGCCAAGCTCAAGACCGCCCCTCCTGTCGTCAAGGCAGAGATGAAGAGCATGGTGCCGTCCGGGCCTCCGCTGGGTAAGCTGAACATCACTACTTCCTGGAGCTCGATGGAGAGAATTTACTCAAATCCATCCATCCTTCCTGGAGGATACAAAATCCAAACACACTTTTCATTTCAGCAGAGAGCAGATAAATGATAGATCTGAGTTTATCATGATGGTGATGATAATGAATGACGGACATTTTCTAAACAGGAGACATTATAGACAGGAACGGGAACGTGATGGCTAACAGCGCTCGCAGGCTGGAGGTGGTCAGGAACTGCATCACCTACATCTTTGACAATAAGATGCTGGAGGCCAAAAAGGTGAGACAGACACTGAGTTAGCAACACTTTTACACTTTAAGCTGATGAAGGTGTTGGACGGGAGCAAGCAGAGAAAGGTTCAAACCATCATATGATTAACGACATGCTTATCTAAAGCTCTGGTTACTGACCAGGAAGAAACCAGAATCAGGTTCTGGTTTCTT